ACATTGGCTTTGATGTTTAACACATCAAGAGTATAATTTTTTTTTTTTTCTTCCCCTGAATGAGTCCTCTCGACCAAGGCCAACTCGTGTGTTCAGGCAGGGGAGGGGCCACTTGTGATCGCTCACAGTGTGCATGTGATGTTGTGCAATATGTGAAAAAAAATTAAAAACCCACTTGGATCTGCTCCTTCTCTACCGCACCGTAAGGATGCAGAAAATGAAATGCACGTTCTCTGAGTAGGTGACCCAGAATGTGAAACACCCACTAGAATCACAGGTCCTGTATTGAATGTCAGTTCATATCTAGCAGTCACGAACTACAGTCAGCAAGCATACATACGCTCATCTATACATGCAAATATGGAGATTTTTAAAAGGTTTACGGACTACAAAACTTTTAAAAATGAGATGGAGGGTCACAAATGACATACGGTTATCAAATGGGGTGGTTTTGTAATTCCTCCTGAACCCGTATTCAACCTTCGCCTCTAAGATTTACTGGTAAACAAAAGATCAAATGGTTACAACAAAATAGTTCGTCACTGCCTTTGTGTGCACCGTGGGTCGTAAAAGTTTGTTATGCAGACGACAACAGTCAACAGTCCTCTTAGGAGTTTATTTTTCCCCAATCTCTCAGCTATAATAGGACCAATATGTCCGTTTGGAGAAACTCAATTTGGTGAATCATTTTAATCCCTAAATACCGATTATGTATTCACATTACGTTCACATTATTCTGCATTATAACAGAAAACAGAACGACAATAAAGTTAAATGTGTCACACAAAGTTAGCACAGCATGTTAGATCACTCTGACTGCTATAGTCCAACATGAATGTTGATTGTGGCTGTTGGGATGTCAGTCATATGATTCATTCATTACTGTACACATGTTGTTCAGTTCAGAAACAATCTCACTACACTTCTGCTACACTCTGCTTATGTGATGGCGTTGTGCTCTAGCAACTTGAAATGACACTTTGTCCCTTTAAAGTGATACTCTAATTTTGGCAAAAGTGCAACAATTAGGTTTACGGTGCCTTAAGTTTGGAAAATTGGAAACTTCAAGTCCACTGTCCTTAGAATGAAGTTAGTCATTATTATGCCTTTTAAGTTTTACCAGCAGTAGTGAGTTATCAGCAGACTCATTCACTCTCAGCTTTGTTTCCTAAACTGTTAAACATCATCAATGAGTTTAGTCAAAGCTGAAAGTTGACGCAATTTATTAAATTAATTAAGCTTACAGGAAACAAAACACTGGAATCTTTCTGCGTGGAGTTTGCATGTTCTCCCCGTGCAGCGTGGGTTCTCTCCGGGTTCTCCGGCTTCCTCCCACACAGTCCAAAAACATGTTGAGGTTAATTGGTGATTGTAAATTGTCTGTAGGTGTGAATGTGAGTGTGCTTGGTTGTCTGTCTCTAAGTGTAGCCCTGTGATAGACTGGTGACCTGTCCAGGGTGTCCCCTGCCTTCGCCCTAAGTCGGCTGGGATAGGCTCCAGCCCCCCATGACCCTAGTGAGGATTAAGCGGTGTATAGATAATGGATGGATGTATGGAAACAAAACATAGACAGACTACCCAGGATGTATTGTTAGAGTAAAAACACTTTTCCCCCTCATTTATCTCACTGTAGGTGAGATCAGCCACAAAGATTATTTTTGTAAAAATAGCAGCTGAGATTCTCAACGTTAAATGAAAAAGAATCTCTCAAAAGCAAGTCTGTCTGTAACTGTTGTCTCTGTCACTAGTTGGTACAACTTAATATGTTAGTTTATTGAACTAGTTATCTCAAGATCAGTTAATTTAACTTAATTAGTTTTACTCTTTCACAACTCATAAGATGACATTGAGTTAATTAATTAAAGTGCAGTTAACTCATCAGGGGAACTAAGCTGAATGAACCTGAAAGGATTTAGATGACATACAAGCTACCCTGCAGAAAGTCAACAAACTTCTCTGCATTTTTGTGTTTAAAAAAAAAAAGTATGTTGCTGTTTTCATTTACAGATAAGTCCTACCAAAAAAATATATATGAAGCACAATGCAGTAAAAGACAGAGTCTCTTGTAGTGAAGAGGTAATTATTTGGTCCATGCGTAGAGTTCTTTTACAGTATATATCTATAGATGGATGAATATATTCTTCTCTGCACCTTTTCTGCAGAGATTTGGAATCTCAACCCCAAGTTGACTTGACAAAGCTCGTGCAAACCCAGAAAACCTTACAGAAGTGTTTTCCAAGGCTGAGTACACAATAAGACCAAAGAGTGTAAAATCAATGAATTGCTCCATTAAGATTGAACAAAAAAAAAAAACAAAAGCCATTCCCATCTCTTTTGCATTTCACCTATAGTCTCTCCTCAGAGCGCCTTTACTGTAATAAACAATATCTATTCTGTTCTGTTCCGTTCTGCACTCCTCCTCTCTCAGACTCACCCTCCACTGTGGTAAACATATTTAGGCTGGTTGTGGAAAAACCTTGAAATGGTCATAAATCCTCGGTAAACAGGTTTTTATACGCTCCAGGCTGAGCTATCCCTTATCCAAATGGACTCCCTGCACAGAGCCTCCTCCAGCACAACCTCCATCCTCTGTCATACTGCAGGCAAGTGTTTCAGATGATACTCCATCATGGAAATAAACTACATCTGAGCTTCATTAACATACAGAGACCAAGCATAGCAGCTCCTGACACTCTGACGCATGGAGCTGAGTAATAGCTACTATATTCTTTATGGCAAGAACACAGAAAATGTTTTGTGTTGCAAGTTTAAGAGGAATTTCTCTACCTGTCGCTGTGAAAATGCACACATCAAACAGAGCATCGGCGTTGGGAGTTTCATAAGAATGAGGCATGATGCAATAAGTGATGAACCTTGAGAGTTTGAGAAGCTTCGTCTATGTAGGAAAGTACACATCCTTATTACCGCATACTGTTTCCCCGAGGGCTTCTCCAAACCTTTTGTTTGCACACCAACTCAAGAATAATGGAGGTAGAATTAGAGTTCGGATCTTTGTTTTCTCATGGCTTTCCCTCTTCCCCACTGGCCTCGGTTACACCATCTTTCTGAATTCTATCGTGGGGCAAAGGTCACGGCTGGTTACTGGGGGGAAAAAAAAAAAAAAAACCTTGTGGAGCAGGGGAAAAAAGATTAAATAATAAGAAATAAATACTCCAGCACGCAGAGTAGGCTGTACACATATTGACACGGAATTTATCTTCAGTTAAAAAACATCTTTGTACAGGGTCTCTAGAGGTTTACAAAAGGCTGAGCACACATACAGTACAGAAAGTCCAGACACAAATATACCACAACTAATAAATAGAGACAAACAGTATATACAGCATGTACAGGGGAGCCACATGTCATTTACAAAACAACATCAGTGAATTAGTTGCAGGAAATTATTCTTCAGGTTTTAAAAGATGCTGAAGGTACCACTTAACACTGACAACACGATTTATTCTACTTGTATGTGTTTGCATGCAATTCCATCAAGAGGACTCAGTAATGCTACGGCGAGGAGCGAGGGCCGGGTCAGAGACTGTCAGCAGAAACTGAAGATAGCGCGAAGCAGATAGCCACACTCACAATACTTCATTATTTTAAAAAATTATTTCTGATTTTAAATGCTCATTTTCTTAATTTGTTCTATTAATTAACCCTTCTGTTGCGTTTTATCCATTCATTGTTTGGGGTGCCACAGACCTCAGCGCTGTTTATGTAAGATAAGCTCCTCTAATTCTATTTGCCGCACTTCTCATCATTGTTGGTTGAGCTCCAAATGATATAGGTATTCTAAACACTATTATCAGCGATGCACAGTCTTTCAATGGCAGCTAATATGTGTGTGTACACACTGACTTCTGTCTGAGACGTCGACTCCACCTTTGATGTCATTGTACACTAAATACATTTTAATTGTTCTGCCCTTTTCCATACACGTAACTGCTTCTTTATGCTCACTGGAGGAGTAAGAAATACTGATAAATACAGTCACAAACCCCAAATAGAACTTTTGTCTGAAACTATTCAAAGTTGCATTAATTTTCATGAACAGTTCTGACAAAACTGGGAAAAGTTAAATTTAGCAGAAGGTCAACATGAAAGTTAAGGAAGCTACTTGATCTTCTTACTGTGTTCAAAGCCTCCTGACACTTTCAGACACTTGTCTGCATTGTCTGTTGTTTTACTCAAGTGTAAATATGAGATTTGGGAATTGTATTGGTTCTTTTCTTTTCTTTTTTTTAATGGGTAACCACACCCAGCCCTACGTGAAATTAGTATAGCTACTGTATCTACTTGCTATTATGATGTCCATCTACTTATCACAAACATGTTCTGAGATTCTCAGCTGGGAGTCAAAAGGAAACACATCATGGAATAAGTTTGCATAATATTTCATTGCAATGGATGAACTCAAACATTGGCTCTTACAAGAGAATGTCTGATTTTCTATGTGGTTATTGAATCTAAATGTCACAGTAAATATGACATTTATGTATTGTATCCTTTGTGTTTTAGTTTTACTGTGAAACTCTGAAGTAATGCAATTACTGTAAGGTGGTGCAATTTTGAATATTCTGACACACTGAAGTGACATTTCACAGCGGTGCACTCGCCTTTGTTGTGTACTGTATACAACTTCTATTATTTAAGCATTTATTATGGCTGGTTTAACAAAAAGGGATTAAAATGACCCCCTCTGGTTTTGTTCCATGAAGCAGTCCAGTGGTTATTGCACCAAATCTGACCCGTTGGCTCACACTGTAAAACTGAAAGCGTAGAAACCAGAAGAAAAAAAAGGCTGCCAGTCTTGTCAGTGATTGATAGCCCAGTCCACTGGAAGATGCAGGGAGAGATTAAAATAGTTGCTGGTTGTTTCATCTCGATCATGAAGCTGGTGAGGCCGCACTTGTCGCTCGTGGTTACTGATCTGTGGGTTCTTTATTATCCTGAGTTTGGGAGACTTCATGCAGGCTGATAGGCTGTCTGGGAGCTCAGTGCCTCTCAAAGACCGGTTGTTTATGGTGATGCTTCCTCAGCCTGGATTCTGAAAGACAAAAGTTAATTTGCGATTAGTTTATCTTTCAAAACCATAAATTCTGTGACTCAGTTATTTCAAGAACAAATAGGCAGTACTGTGTGTTTCAAGACAGAGTAAAGCCTTGTTTTTTTTGTGTATTTATAGCCTTCTCTACCCCTTAATTAAAGGTGCCCTCCACTGCTGTGAGTTTGCCTCCACTGGGAGTTACACACCGTGTAATGGAGTGGGAGGGTGGAGGGGTCACAGTGGAAAAGGACCCTTGTCTGTGTAACTCGCCCAGCACACCCACACAGTTGTATTCCATTATTCTGGCTGATTAGACCTCAGACTGAAGTTTAAAAAATATCTCTGTTCTGGGAATGTCACCTCTCGATACCACAAACAATTAAAAATGTAAGACGAACAAGCACAACAAAGCTAACAGGAGACGGGGCGAGGTGAGCACAGTGCACAAACATGAACATACAACCGCATTTCTTTGTTTCAGTGTGAGGTTTTTGTCATTTCTTACTGTGCTTCGGGGCGCTCTGGTATCCGGGAGTCTGAAAGGTTCTGCTGGTTGCTGGACCTTCACCCTCTGCTGTGATGGCCTGGACCTCCAACCTGTACAGACTGGCAGGGTGCAGGCCTGACACCACCAGAACTTTCCCATCCTGAAGAGAGAGAAAAAAAAAAAAAAAAAAAAACTGAGAAAGCGAAAGAAGAGGAAGCACAGGAAAGAAGTATAAAATGCTCAAGGTGTGTGAAATTGCAGGGAAGCTGCAGACTAAACTGGGTTTGTCAGCCCAGTGGCTCCTGAGATTTGTCTGCAGGGGAAATACAAATCTGAATCTGCATTAAAACTCCAGAAACACTGCACAAAGGACAACTTCACCCAGAAAGAAGAGTGTAAAGGGTATATTTTACCCCACTGTCCCGAAAAACTGATATACTAAAGAGCAAAGAAGTCAAAAAAGATAAATTTGACACCAAAATGACGAATGGATACCATGAAATGGCATTTCGAAAATGGGAAGGAGGAAAGTTAAAAGCTTAAAATGAAAGAAAGCTGGAAAAAAAAGCACACCATGGAAAGAAATAATGTTTGAACAGTTTAATTTGGGGGTTTTCTGACATTTTTAATCAAGATTTTCCATTTCCCATTTCAGGTATTTCCATTTCCAAACACTGGATTTCTATTTTCTTACTGTTGGGTGATTACTTTTCCTTTTTAACATAATTTTTTGGATTGATTATCTGTGGCAGTAGTGCCATTTAAATAGTTTGTAACAATTATTTATTTTTTCTAGGTAATATAATACAGATATTAGGTCCCTGGGCTTTTGCACTCATCCTCCTTTTTCATAGCAATAATGACACATTGTGTACAGCCTGGTAGACCAGGTGCTGCAACTTGATTGGCCCTTGCATTGTCCCGGCCTTCAATATCCCGCCTACTTCATCAGAGCTGATGGCTGATTGGATCAGACCAAACTCCAGTCAACCAATCCAGCCCCACACTTGACTTTAAAAGAATTGTCATTCCAGCATTCTGGGACAGTTTTCGAGTGGTGTTCAGTTCACCGGAGTCTGTTGAGGCTGATATCTTGTTAAGGATCTAGTTAAGACATTTTTGCTGTTTCATTTTGGGGTTCAAGGTCTGACTGTTGAAACCTTTTTGTTAGAATGTCATTGTTAGCTTGTAGATTGCAGTCCTACTCCCCATCTATTTTGAGTTTTGGTTTGGTTTTGTAGACATTTTTGTTGTTGGGTATGTTCGTTTCTCCCTCCTGTCTCCCCCTGTTATTGGTCACTGTCTTTTTATGTTTCTTGGACGGGATGTAGCTGTAAATCAACTATTTCCCTGAGGTACCCTACCAAAGGGATCAGTAAAGTTATATCTAGTTTTACTCAAGCTTCAAGAAGAAGTGGTTTGGTTGTATTCATTTTATTTGAGTAGTACCCTTCGCCCTTGTTGTAAGCACAAAACGTGAGGAATTAAGCCCACCTCTGTTCACTCTGGCTAAACAACGTCCATCTGCTGGTTTTGTTACCTTCCTTGCTCACCCTAGACAGCTGGGTTGTAACATGTGGGGGCCTACGAAGAACCAGTAAATTACATTACCAAATTACATTACATTACAAAAATCAAATGGCGCTGTCATTGTTGAGGAATGCGGGGAGAATTTTTAAATACTGAGGACATCAGTCATATCTATTGGATTAAATTTGTGTCATAACAATTGAATAAAGTGTCCCACAAATCAAAGAAAATAAATAAATTGCAAGTGAAGAGAAATACATTGAACAGCACCGAAATTTGATATTATTTACAATTTTCTCTTCTGTGGTCCCATGTTTCTCTGCTGAATTTTTCAGTTTTAGTTCTGACACTGAGCAGTCATGTGGGTATTGTAAAGAGGTCAGTGGACCAAAAGCACAACTATTCCTTAAATGTCAAATTATTCCAAATTTTATTTCAAAGTTGAACAGTCGAGTTTTCAACAAAAGTTAGATAAACTTATTGTACTATAAAGAACATAAATCTGCCTCTTTCACTTCATCCTGATGGAAGTAAACCTCCGTGAAGCCTGTAAAGCTGTTAGAGTTTAGATTTTAATTTTAAATTCACTATTATTTGTAAAGATGTTTGCTAGGGGGTCGTTTGTTTATTCAGAATTAAACTATAAAAAGCAACTGTCAGCAGCCTCCATTTATTAAAAATGCAATAGGCCCTCCAGATGTTTTTTATCATTTTGGTTTTGTGATGCCAAGATGAATGTAGCACTTCATAACCATGAACGGGGGTGATGGAAATGGAAAAAGATATTGCTAAAGATAGCTGAAGATGAAAAAATACATAGGGACTAGGCAAAGATTAACACTTACTCAAGAAAAACAACTGTTGAAAAGAACATTAAATCATTCGACTTGAAGAGAGAGAGAACTATATAACATCACCCTGAGATTTGACGGCTTCTTCTCCAACCTAATCAAAAATAGACTAAAAAAAACATCATATGAACAACGTCTAAACCACTTGGCACCCCAGGTGGACTTTACTGAAATCATCAAAGATTTTTCTTCAAAGGAGGAAAAAAACGACTTGGTGGCACTTCAATACTTGGCATCCTTTCACTTGACTAGAATGCATTTAAGATACTGTGCACTTCCCGTCATTGTTCACGTTTTCAGAGAGCACGGTTCTTGTCTTGGTGATGGTAGGAGCCTCTTGAGCTCAGTTGCCTGCTTTTGTGTCTATCGGCTGATAGGCAGCACATTAAAAATTAAGCAGCGAACGGGGAAAGTGGCTGCAGAACAGAACACCGGATCAATGAACGAGAAGTAGAAATATTGAGATGAAATGTAGCATTTATTTTTTTTGCTGTCCATTTATTTTTCTCTTTCAAAATATGTACTTTTGGCATCTTCTTGAAGAAATGAGTTTCGTTATTAGGAGCTAAATTCAATCCCACAACAACAAGACTTTGGAGGTGCTGTGATTTGTACATGCTATTGATAAAGGGAACCGAAAACTATGGGAAGTTTTACATTCTGCAGAAGTCCTGTCCTATGTCCTACAGAAGTAGTCACCTACTTTTGCAATATATCTGACTAACAAAGAGAGAAAATCAAAAAAAATATATTTTTCTACATTGCTTGTTGCCTTATAACTTAAGAAGCAAACCTCAGCTAAACTCAAGATCCTATACGACCATTTGGTACAGTCAGCTTACTAACCGGTGGAAGGATCTGGGACTGGGAGATGAGGCTGTGAGGCAGCTTGTTGTTGCTGTGGCGGTTGGTGGGGATGACCTCCGCCCAGGTCACCTGGTAGCCAGTCAGCTGCTGGTGGGGGGGATTCATGGACAAATCCCAGCTAAAGATGGCCGTCACATTGCCACCTCTGACCTCAAAAGATGCTGTCAGGTTGGCTGCCTTCACCAGGACCTTCTGAGTGGACACAGCTGAAAGAAGCACAGCTGGGGGTTTGAATGATGATAGATATTGGGATGGTGGACAAATTCATCATATTAAGCCTGAGGCACAAGCAAACTGCCAATAAGTCCCCAGCTGTCAAACTAGAACATGATGATAGCTTCTCAGCTAGTTGTGGATGTTTGTGTGTTCCATTTCGACATCATTTGTCTTCTATTTTGTACAGTTTATCTCTTATAAGTATAGATGTGAAGTTTCAAAGAGCTATTTACCTTTTGTCATTTAAATACAAGTGTGCTCTTAGAGAACTACAGAAACATAGAGTCAAATTTTAAAGAAAACTTGTCAAGAGCTTGATGAGAAACTTGATAGCAGTCTCTTCCATAATTCAACTAACTTAGTTTATTACAAAGACTGGAAAAAGGAGGAACTATTACCAACAAATCTTGAGAGAATTGAATTAAAGCTGAGCTATGTGCCATGCTATTTTTTGGTTGGAACCAGTTGCCTGCCAAACACTGGAAACTTTCCTATCCTGTTACCTTTTGGAGCAAGACTGGCTAGCTGTTCACCAAGAAAAGTGAGTTCTAAATAAATACAACAGAATAAATAATGCATCAATTTAACGTCTGTGTTTGCAAGACGTTAGGCTCTGCTCGTCTCACCTGTTTCTCCAGAACAGACGATGGGTTTCGGACTCTTGGCCTGTATGGTGGCGCAGGACGGAGTGAGGAAGCTGGTGCTTTCTGCCAGAGGACGGCTTTTCTTGCTGAGTGGCTGCAGAAGGACTTTATACTTGCAGGAGAAAAGCAAACCCCTCAGGCTGGTAAAGCTCTCCTAGATAGACAGATAGATAGATTCCCAATTCCAGATTATTGTAAGTCAACATTCACAGCAGACGAGGCAACAATGACTGTGTTTACCAGTCAATGCTCTCTCTTAGATTTTTAGATGTGAATTTGTCCATCTGTGTTGCAGCTGCGTGTCATTATAGCCACTGGCAGGAAAAGCTAATACTTTGTTTGCCATTTACATCCAGTCATAATGTTACCTGGGTGGTGGTCTTCTCCATGGGTCTGGTCTGGTTGTATCCACAGTACTCTGGTCCCCACTGGATTCTGTAGAATTCAACTGAAGGATCTAAACAAGCAACACAAGATTGTAGCATGTCTTGTAAGAGCATAATGACCCCAAAGAAAAACATCATTTTTATGCAATGTCAGAAAATAAGTTCAATAATAATTTCATTGTTTCAGACTGAAAGACGTATTTAACATCTCGCTCTATTAACACAAGCAGTATTTTTAGTTGTTTTTTTTTACAGAATCTGGTGCAAATGGTCCACTGTTGGCGATTTAAATGTTTTGGATGAAATATTACAGTTTCAAGCTTAGATTCGGTTCATTTTTCCAACAGAACCGCATGTCAGACTTGATTACTTCATTGGAAGGCTGAAAATCTGATCATTCTCTCTTACAGTTCCTGGCTCTGACAAATGGTGTCAGTTTGGTGACTTTTTTAAAAACAACGTGTCTTCCAAACCCGCCGGCAGGTTTTGGGGTTCAGAAGGTTAAAAGAGCTACACCCTCTAAACAATCCACCGCTGCATTATTTCCACATCTAACCTCTATGAGAGTGTTTCTACTAAACACAACCAGACCTATGTGTGGTTCAGCATACATATGACAATGATAACAATCCTCTACTCTGCCAATGGGTGGATGGCAAAAAAAAAAAGTGGAAAAAATAATGTTTTTTCTTTCTTTTCCAGAAACATAAACTCTTTAGCGCATACCTGTGGGACTACTTCAGAAAAAAACTGAAGGTCATGTGGATAAATATTGTTCAACACTGAAATTATATTAAATCCTAGAAGAGATGACAAAGTTTTCTGTTTCAAGCTGCCAATCCATCTAATATGACACATGATATTCGGAGCATTTTTGTTTGACATGATGATTAGAAGAGTCTGTATGCTGACAGTTCTGTGGTTGTCAAATTTGTGGTAGAAAACTAGAGGAAAAGGATCACCAAAATCATAGGGTTCATCCTCTGTGGGCCATGAATGGGGGGAAATGAGTTAACACAGCTAATAATAATTCCTGTAAGACTTTAAGAACAGACTTTCTGGTAAAACTTAAACTATAAAAAGTACAAATAGGTGGATGTGCCGTGGTGTTGCATACTGATTCCAGACTAAAAACAATAACAGACTGTGTGAGCGGCTGAGTTCAGGTTCATACATGTAGGAAGTTTATATTTCATCTGATTGTCATCCTTTGTGTTGGAGGAACATGGATTGTTTGCCTCATTTGTCTTGATGGCAGAAACTCACACCAGCTCTTGTGCATATTCTCTGGGTGGGAATTTGGCAAATTCACCGTTTGATAGATTCCAATTGATTCTTGATTCAGTAAAAACAGCGGTTAACATTAGGTCTCCAGTGGTGAACAGTGTCTCTGCTGTGCTGTTAATGTTATGTCTCCTGCAGTGTAGAGAGGCCCTTTTGCTAACAGGCTGAATCCAAATTGCTGTTTGGGTGCTGGGCTTTGAAATAAAATACATTACAGAGAAAATTATTTTCTTCAACCCACAAAAGTTGGTTAAAATGAACTATTTGCTGTTCCTGGACCTTATTGCTTGTTTTTAATGTTAGTCTGGTGTACTGAAAGCACAAACTACCAACTTTTTCATGTAACTCATCCTGTTTTAAACAAGACATCAGCTTAATGATCAAATATTTTAGCAACTAAAAAGGCAGTCATGCCCTCTGCTTCTGCCTCGTCTGCACCCTCTCTCCCTCTCTGGTCTGTGAGTGGGTGTGATAACGGCAGGAGAGGAGACAGTCATGCAGGAGGCCAGGTCACCTGTTTCTCATTATTCGCTGTTATAAAAGCCCAGCTCAGACCTTGACTCATCGCCAGATCATAGAGTCTGTCACATATGGGCCTTACCTGCCTCCGTCTCCCTCTGCAAACCCAGCCGGCTTCTCCCCTCTCCAGCCTCTGCCTGGATTTCACTGCCTGCACCTCTGCTTCAACCTGCTCCGGGCCTTAGCCACGTTCCCCTGCTCTGCTCCATGAGCTACACCTCAGTTAAGTTCAGCTGCCTGTCACACCTCCAGGCCTATCTTCTTGTTGAACAACCCCAACTTTCCAAAGACTCACAGTTTAGCTTTAAATATTCAACATGTTCATACTGTACACTCTGTGATTCTGCACTTGGGTTTTCAAGACACTGTGTCCAAAATCATCCACTCATTGCCTTCTCCCTGCTTAGGGACTACTATATAGTGAACTATGCAGGTAGCTCCTTTGCAAAAGCAACATTTTCGGACATTACTCGAGTCTCTATCAGTTCTGCTGCTGCTATGGTAACTGCCAGCTATGGTATATTATAATAAGTGCAATATCCAAAAATAGTAAATGTGGGAAAAAAAACAAAACTTTTTTCCCCCTTTTTGTGTTACATCACTTTACTTTCATTAAACATCCTAATGCAGTTATTATTTTTTCATTTTGACAAGCTGCATATACAGAAAAGCTATATTCCGTAGAAAATACATCTCAACACTATAAATTAGCTGTCGGAAATCTGCTGAAATGCCACCAATCCTCAACTGGCTCTCTCTTCCGTCTGCCCGTCTGGCTGCCATTCTTCTTCGACGCAATGCATGATGGTACAGATTGCTTGGTTAGTGACCATCAGCTGTACAGTACTTTTCATGGTGCATTGTTGGATACTTTGAGCGCACTATATAGGGTGCAACAATTGTAATTTAGCACTACTAAATGGAAAACCCGCTATGTAGTGCACTATACAGTAGTGACTGATTAGCTGATTCTTAATCTCCACAGCATTATCTTTTAAACCTTCCAAAGCTGAATACATCATAGTATATCTTTGCATCCACTCAACTAGCAAACATTTTTCCTTCCAGGGCTTTGGAATCACTACATTTCTATTTCTCTCTATCATCACACAAGCCTCTGTGGCCCTCCATCGATCCAAACTGCAACACATTACCAAAGTCAGAGCCTTTTCTATTTGTCAGGAATCTGTTTCTTTCTGAGATTTAAAATGTTGGGTCGTTGGTTCAGCTGTGTGCATTCAGCACCACTATCATCTTCACGTTTTCCACAGAGGAATGTCACATCTATTTATATGTTGCATGTTGAACAAATAACTTCTAAGTGAATTTTCTTCGTGGTGTTCAAGTTCATCACATTTTTCTGAATTCACTGCTCCAAACGCACCACCCGGGCGCTGCACTGAGCCTTTGAGGTTTAGTCAGCGTAGCATTACATTATCAGTGGATGGCATTTGTGAGAATCGTACATGTTTAGAATTTTTTTTCTGTGCATACCTGTGCTACGCTGCCAGTAAACATGAACCTGGAGCTGTCCATCCTGGTAGAACGGCGTCCCAACATCCAGGATGTCACCTGTCGGGTTCCTTGGAACAGTTCTGATGGCTTCAAAACAAAAAAAACAGAATTAATCTTCAAGCATGAACATTGGCATGTTGGAGCAATGCCGTGATATAAGAATGAAGCTTATAAAGATGAGTTAACATGGATATCACAAATTAGAATTTTAGTAGAAACAGAGAGGATAAAAAAGATCTTCTCAGTTTTTATACATGCACAGTTTGTTTTGATCTTATGCAGGCTATATGGATAGTCGCAAACTCTACATAAACTTTGTCTGGTGATGTGGTGTCCACATTTTAAAATCCAGGCTGTTTGAGATTTCTTATCGTGCTAAAGCTTTCACTTTTAATCAAATGGAAAATGTGGCGATTTATTTTACACGTCTGCTCTGTAGTAAAAAAGGTAGAAATATGCTTGAACTGCTGGGTTTTTATGGCACTGATTTTTTTTTTTATGGCAAAAACAGTTTTGCTTTTTATGACAGCTAAATAAAAATTTAAGAGATGCAAAGAGATTTTCTTTGCCTTTTTAGAAAACTAATGAAAAATGGTCTCAGTTTATGAACTATTTTTTTACTTATCTATAATGTAAATTCTCAGTAATCCAAGTTATTGTAGTCATAAGCAGAAGACAACTCTTTATTTTCAACTCTCATCCAAGAGGCTCCTTCAATCCTAATGCTGATGGCTTATAAATGACCCAGAGACTCACATGCGTCGAGGTGTGAATGCCACTGAAACTACTGGTGAGAGATCTCGGGACTGCATGATAAGTACCTGATAAGTGGTGTCATCGACTCCATCCTCTGATGAGAGAGATGGGTGTCCAGGTTAACATAGATTTTTTTCCTTAACCCTCTCTTTTAACTCTGTGAGCCATCTCTCACCAGGCAGTTTCACAACCATTAACACCTCGAGGCATGTGAGGTTTGGGATATAAAGGAGTGATGGGCAACGTGATTTGGTGATGGGAATAAATACCAGGGATTCCCCACCAGTCATGGAGAACTGTGGAAGTCTCTTGGATAAGAGATTAAACGTATTCAAACACCAAAAAGAGAAGTACAATTGTCTTTCAGTAATGCACTTACCAAATAGATAATATTCTGTTTTTCTTTTTTAAAAAGTCTGCTACTTTTTTCCTCTTATGAGTACCACATTGTGAAGGCCTTCCTTGAAGATGTTCTTGTAATTTACAGAGAAATACTAGTTAAATTTTAGAAAACAATGTGGAAAGTTTCCAGGAAGCTACCTGGATATGACTGGATCCATAAATGAAAGCATTGCTGTTGTGTGATATCATGTTATTTTGAATTCAAATCTTTTTTTTAACCACAGAAAGCTTCCATCGTTTGACGTATTAAATATACGACATGTGTTTTTCTCCAGATGGTAGTACGGGGAAAGGTCAAAAGGTCATCAAAACTATTAGCTTGGCAATCTGATCATCACTTATTAAGATGGCTTTCATTGGATCCAACCGGTGGAAAACATTCACACTTTTTATTTCAACAGTCTGGCAAAATGTCGTGCGAGGAAAATGTCTTTAAACTTTATCACCTTGAACACTCACACAACAAATGTTTCTTTCTCTCAGTTTCTACTCAGCAGCGCAGAAGTGGGCACCAGCTAATCACTTCCATCCTTGTTCCACGATGCATTCACTCTCACGTTCATTTCTGTAATTATTAATACCATTTATTCATTTTTCTTTTGCACAATGTCAGCCGTCACTTTGAAAAGGAACACCTTGACATTTTGAATTTGAAAGCTAAAAGCTCCATCACGCTGATAAGACTGTAGGTGTGGAATGTTAAGGCTGCATCTGGGTGGAGTGCAGCTCGGAGATACAGACGATCAAAGATTTAACATCCCAGTGGGAGAGAGTCTTTCAGATATTTAAACCCAAAGGTGCTTTCAAAAAAATATCACCATAAAAGTTCAAAATACAACTTAAAGAGCCTAGTAATGCGGTTTGAAAGCCGAGACGGAAGTTTTAGAGCAAGAACTATTTCATATTGCTGTTTTAACAAATCTTTAGAGGACTCTTAAGAAGACATTTTTCCTTTATGTCAAGGTTATCAAGCTGAAATTCAAACCGCCAGCGTGTCCTTTGTGATTATGCATGAAGACATACCGCGCTGTGTGGTGAAGTAGAGGACAGCTCGAGGTCCTTTGAGCTGCGTTTGTCCCCAGTAGGACACGGCTTGGACCTCCACGCTGTAGCTCCGGTTCGACCGCATGCTGTCCAGCTCCACGTGGCTCTGAAAGCACACACAAGACGAGAGTCGCGACGTCTGTTTCCAAAAAAAAAAAACATCCTTTTCTACTCTGTAATTTTGGTCATTCACAGAAATAAATAAATAAATAAATAAATAAATCTTGCACTTTATTTTTCTTGGAGCTTTCCTACAAACCCTGAAAATGTCAGCCAGGGAGAGGATGCTAAAGGCCATGTGCCATTTTCAGTTTTAAGCAACCCTCTTATACCTGCTTCCATTTCTGGATGTCAGATATCGGCTTGTTACTGTGTGTCTACTACAGGCAACATCAGAAAAATAATGTCATGTTCATGTTACTGTTAAAGGAAACGCGCAGCTTGAATAATAACTCCGTCATGGTGACAGTTTTTCTATTTTGACTTATTAATTGCTGGTGCAAATCATGTTCGGCCCCTGAGGCTCCGACGTTTAGACAGCCGATTTTTTTAATCACTTTTATTAAACGGGTTTTATTAAAAGATTTGTCCAAGACGGCGTAAACTAATGAATTTACCCTCAGGGGTCTTGGACTCATTTTTTATTGTTGCCTCAGATCTCTTAATATATATTTATATTAAAAAATAGTAAAAGTTCAGTGACATAAAATACAAGCAAGTAACTGATATCATACATGACACAAGAGGAAAAGCCTTTTTAATATGTAATCAGTTTAGTTTTCACTTGTGGACATGACATTTCTACAAGTAAAGAAATGCACTCCTTCTCCCCTTCTGTATTAATGATCTATTGTATACAGCCTGGTGCACCAGGTTCTGCATCCTGATTGGCTCTCTGGTGTTATTGTCCCGCCTATCTCATTGAAACTGACGGCTGATTGGACCAGACCTGACTCCTGGCCTCCGATCAAGCCCCACACCTGTCTTTAAACACCTGTCATCTCTGCATCTGGGGTTAGCCTTTGTGTCGTGTTTGGCTTACTTGTGCGTCTCTCCAGTTGCTGTCGTGTTAAGGATCGAGTTAGGATGCTTGCGGTTTCATTTTGAGATTCAAGGGTTCAGTTAGGTGCAGTCCAACTGAGCCCTCGTTGGACGATCATTGTTAGTTTGTAGATAGGGGTGCTACTTCCTGTGTATTTTCAGTTTGATTGGTGGAGTTTTTGTTTTTGTTTTGGGGGACTTTTTGGAGAATTGTTGATTCAGGTATTCTGACTAGTGACAAATGAGTTGTAGATATGTTGAATTAGAATTGTGTCTCGTCAAATTTGCAATATGAATATGGTGGTTTTGCAACTGGTCAAAAGCAGTTGTTGATATCTATAATTGTTATTACTGGTCTGTCATATAGCACAACAAACACAAGTTGCCACTAAGATCCACCTAAACTGGTTCAAATGAAGTTCCATAAATCTCAACTTCTAACTTTACCCTTCCACAGATTGTATAGCAAAACACTAAGATTTGATGCTTTACTGCAGTGCGACTTGGGACTTGCAGTGGACTTCTCTTTCAAAGGTTTTATGATGTTTATGAAGGTTTTTTATGACTGCCCATCCAAACGTCGTCAAAGTGCTCCTGACTTCGAACTTTGTTTATTGGCTTTTACAATCAGTATTTCAAGTTAAACATGACAAGAAGTCTCTTAAAAATCCTCATTTTTAGGGTCTTAAAAAGCAGTAGTGCATTTATCAAGTGCAGCTGTGCCCCTTGATCAACAGGAAAAGTCCTGTTAAAGTGGAAAAAAAAGGAATGAGGCAGTGTGCAGTCTGACAGTATTTTCAGTGGGTTTATTAAATGTGACACAGCATTTTATCTGATCCATTAATTCATTTGTTTTGCCAAAGGAAAATAGGCTAAAAGAGGTTAAGGACAGCACATTTACTTGCACGACTTCACTTGTTAGGCTGGAGGAGATTTAGATGTAACCTGGTGTGCAGGATAATGGTGAGTCAGGAACCTCTTGACATTTACTGCGTCGGTCCTCACCTCTCTGACTGTCTTCCTCCTCTTGGTCAGCGATGAGGCAGAGGAATGTCCAACCGCCGTCCAGCTCCAGCTGACCTTGTAGTGGTGGATGGGGACGTCCAGGTCGGCCGGCATGGTCCACTGGATCCTGGCCGACACAGTCCTGCCGGGGCCGAAGCTCATGTTGACCATTTTCAGCTCAGTGGGAGCCGGAGGGTTGGAGGGGTCTGAGGGTCACATGTTGGATGGGGTTGATGTGTGTGTACAGACAGATTATTACAGCCGTGACACAAAAAAATAAATAAATCAGTGACTGTTTTTCATTTTAGTCGATTTACCTTTCTAAAAATGGAGGGTAAAGTTACTAAAATTTCAGTGCAATTTTTCAGCTGGGTAAAAAAATATAATAAAATATGTATGTAGAGTACATTCACTGTCTCTATGCAGTGAAAATAAAATTTATTAATAAAAAAAATCAGGGAAATAATTAGCAAAATCTGGCAGCAAAAACGTGGCAGAAAAAAATATGTTTAAAAACCAGTGGAATAGTGTAGCCTTTATTCTGTAGACTAAAAATATTTTTAGCGGATTTAATTAATTTATTTTTAAATGGTGTAATTTAAAAAATTAAATATACACATTTTTCATGTGGACATTATTACAGTTGTGGCCATTTTTTTTCTTTCTTTTTTTAAACTAAAATTTTATGGTTAACAAGTAAGTTATTTTTTGCTAGTTATTATCTATAGTTTAACAAAACTGAAAAAACCTTTAAGATGTGATTGTATTTTATTAAATTACTTAGTTTGAATTGATTTTGTTTCTAAAAGTTTTTAAAAATCTATATATTGTGATTTATTTACAAAATTCTTTGATATTAGCTTGTCACAAATCCGTTACCTTGATTGCTCTAACCTGTACTAAAGGTGCAGTTAAGAGAAAGTCTGATTGAATGATTCCTTGCATTGTGTGAAGCCGGTTGTTTGTTGATCAAATGTCAGCAGCTGCTGCAGTCCAGATGTGTCTTGCTTAAATTTCTTTAGTCGCAAAAGAATGAAAATGACAATCCAGCCTGTGACTGGTTGTCCAGTTTCTGTTTAAATCACCATCATCGAGCTGCTTTTTAAAGTCAACAACTGCAGGGAATGTTTGTTTTTTACTGTCGAGATGACAGGTGGCATTTAGTTTTTTCCTGTGAACACAATCTACAATTTTAAGGATCCTTTTTTTTTTTTTTCCATCCACAAGAACAAACAAACAGACACACAAACACTGACCTCTGCTGGAGTGGATGTGTCTGCTGGGTGTGGTGAAACCTCTGGTTCCGTGGGTGTTGACGGCTGCCACTCTGAACTGGTACCAGCGACCGGGCCTGATGTCGGACAGCCTCGCTCCCTGATCTGTGGTCTGTGATGGATTACACATGGAAAAAGACGGAGGATGTTTCTTTTTGTCTCAGTGTTCTTGCAGTCTCAGAAGGAAGAGATAATGCTCTGTAACTGATCACTATAGTATAAGTATCAATAACTCAACTCAGTCATGTCGGTATGAGACTAAAAGCAGAAAAAGGCCTTTGTTTAGTCTCCCCCTGCTTTCTATGCTGTTTTATAACATACAAGAATTCAGTTTAATGGTTTCCATTTACATATTTTACAGTTTTTGTTGCGACAACAACAGAGCAGGCATAAATGAGTGATTTGAACAAAGGCCATACAGCCTTACGTCGGTGGCTCTGAACTAACCTGTGCAACCACCTGCCAGGAGGTGGCGGCGTCCTCACTGGGCTGGATGCCAAAGTTCCACCTCCTCTGCAGGATGTAGACGACAGGCTCTGCAGAGATGTTGAAGCGGGAGGACCAGCGTACCTCCAGCCGGCCGGAGGAGAGTTCCTCAAAGCCCAGCTCCTTCCTTGGCTTCAGAGGAGCACCTGGACGGAGATGCAATGCTACTTAGAATTCAGTTTTCTGGAGATCACACACAATCTTTACTTTAAAAAAAAAAGCAAAATATGATGTGATTGTAGTTCGCGGGTGAAAAGGTCGACATCTGATGTTTTATGAAGTGATTTATTCTTCTCCGATATCCCTCCCACTATCTGCCATCTACTGTAATTCTCAGTACATATTACCCATGTCCCAGCAGAGAGGACACGGAGCTCTCAGTCAGCTCAGTCAGCCTCCCCCGGGGCTACAGGGATTTACAGCTTTACTCAGTGCCATGGTGTGAAAAGGCAAAATGAGTTTCCCCCACATCATTCCTCTCCCATCATGTGTGTTACCATCAGCAAGGCCCGAACTCGCTGCTGAAAGCAGCAAGCAGGATCTGTTTTTCCTCAGCTCTCTTTGATCCCTCCTCCGACAATGGAGGCCTAAGTAGGGCAGACTCCACCTGACTCTGACTCGCAGCAGCACAGCCGCACACTGTTTGTTAAGAGAGAGATTTTCCACCTGGAATTACCTCATTTATCTGAGAGAAGGCCCAAGGGAGGCTGAGATGACATCTTTTTTTTTTCAGTTGACAAGAAGTTTATGACAGTTTAAGTATGTCACACTAAGTAATGCTTAAAAACAATAATAATCACACAGTACTTTTCTGACAAATGCAGATTTAAAATAGCTTCTAGTGCAATAAAATAGCAACTGCACTTAAACCTGTGACCTGCTTAGACCACCTTTGACATACGCACACTGTGTTGGAGGCAGAGTAGAAAAATGCCATTTAATTCATGGCGTTTTGCTGTTTTTAGATTGCATTTGCATTTAAATTAATACATAAATGCATAAAAAGTTTCAAAGTAACTTTTAGGCAGAGTGTCACGATGAATATCGCCCACGTGCCGCTGGCTGTAATCCTGTGACCCAGAGTTCCATGGAAACATCAATACTGATGTTCTGTTTGATGAACACCAACTTGTAGAGCGTCGATCTTTCCCCTGCAGTTGATTAAACACCTGCAGTCATGGCAGAGCAGGAATGATCTGTGTTCCAGCTGCACACAGTTTGTGATTTAACAAAATTGTTAAATGTCAGTTATGTATTGACGGCATAGCAGCGGCAACTTTAGTAATCTTCATGTTGTGTTTTTGCTCAACATCAGGTTGTTGAAGTGTGGCAGAAGTTTAGCAATGATTTAACTCTGGAAGTCTAAATCTGTGTTTTTAAGACTGTGGTCAGTAAAGTGCAAGTGTTAAAAGTTTATTTAACACATGATATACCTTCTAACATGTAAAAAAAAAAAAAAAAAAGCCATATAGACATGTTAGCTAGGGAAAAAAAAAAGATTTTTACCACTTTTTTACTGACAAGTGAAATGAATAACATGAATCATCTTGTAGGAACTCTTGGGGTCTGGCATTCATGTGGATGCTGCTTTGACACCAACCACCTACACATTGTTTCAGACCAAACACTCCAAAATATGCTAAACTACAGAAATGAAAAGGGCCCAAAGTGTTGATCTGGCCTCCAAATAATCCAATCTAATAGAGCATACACACCACAGTATACCATCAGAAGTCCTGCATCCAGGCATCAATGAGTCAAAGCTGTTGGTTTTAATGCTGAGGCTGACAGGTGCATGTTAAATTACGTCTTGTGGCTTGACTTACCCTTATAGAGGTCTTTGGGAGACTGGCAGGTGTGGCCGCAGCCATTTGAGCAGCACTTCTTCTGAGCCGGACATTCTCTGTCCTGATCGCAGCTCTCCACGCAGGCAGCTGCAAAGCCGCTGGCTCTCTCTGGAGGCGGACAGACGCCCTGTTTCACCTCCAGCACCGACTGAAGAAACTCACAGCTGGTCACACACTCCCAGTGCTTTTTAGGAAACACCCGCTATAGGAGTCGGAGAAAAAAGCAGCTAGCATCACAACCCAGAGAGCTCATTTCACTTTGAACTGTTGGGCTTTGAACTATTTCTAATGGTAATGTGACCTGTTTTTGCTGTCAGGGTTTCTAATAATATGTACTCATCTATTTAATGAGAAGGAATCTGCAGAGGGCTGCAGAAGAATTTTTTTTTCACATTTTTGACACAACCAAGAGTTTCTTGTCAGGATTACTGGATAAAAATGTGCAAGATTCGAACACGGTGATGTTGTTGCTATGGTTGTTCCAGTGGTGTGACTCTCCCTACAGAAATATGGGCACACAGTGACATTTTTGGACATTTGAATCGAATAATTTCAAATGACACCAATATAGCATTCATATGTGAATTTGAGCAATACAAAAACCTGCAAAAATATCTAAGACTCTCTTCATTTTGATCCGTTGATGCTGCTGTGTTTGCTGAGGACCTCCTTCTGTTCCAGCTCCACTTAACAGACGTTCTAGCTTTGTGTCGAATCAATGGTTTCACATTAAAACCCCTGGCTGTTTCTGATCTCATAAAAACTCCTGATCCTAGAACACAGCAAGCGTACAGTGTGACTGACTCTGTGTTAAAGTGTACCTCACACAGTTCTCTGCAGTTGCTTTTCCTCTTCATCTCCCAGGAATCTTTGCAGGGCTCCAGGCACTGTGGAAGTGAAAGCAACAAGAGTGAGCAATGACAGGTTTCAGCTGTATATGAATGAAGAGATTTTAAGGGGAATCTGTCTCTTTAGATTGATGAAGAGCGCTCTCTTACTGAAGAATGCTGGCGTAACAAGAGTGTCAGATAATTTAAATCTCTGTTACAGGTAACAATAACTCCGCCGACGTGATGAATAAGGTGTCGGTTTTGTTATTAAAGCATGAAGCACTGACTGGACTTTTATCAAAGCAGGACTGATGTAAGATCAGGATTTAGATTATGATCTGTCATCTTGCTGTCGGAAGAAATATCCAAAAAAAAGAAAAAAACAAGCTGTATTGCAACCAAAAATGTTAGTTTTTTTAGGAAACATCACTGATGTTATAGGAGAGTTCACAGGGAGGTGAAACACTCAATCACATTTATATATAACTATTTAACGAAACCATTCAGGATTCAGGGTTGTCTTTTTGGAAAGAGTTTGAAGGTATTGAACTCATTTTTAAGTTGTCTTACAATCCCAGCTGCTGACAACGCCATTAATGAAGGGAGCAAAACATGAGGAACTCTTTAAGATGTAATCCAGTCCAGTGCTGCACCACCACCACCCACTCTGACCTCAATAATAAACATAAAGGAGAATTATCACCTTTTTGACAACGCCGACAAAAACTGAAACTGGAGAAGCTTCGCAAAAGCAGAATTTACGGCAGAGCTGTTGTACTGGGATGGCATTAGATTTCACAGGTGTACCTACTAAATGTATGTTGTCAGCTTCCCCTGGTAATCGTATTTAACGTTATTTGTCTGGGATTTAAGGGAAGAAAATGTCACTGTTTAAGGCGTCAACACATGGCCTTCAGGCAGTTAGTCCCCTGCTGTCTTTCCCACATCTCCTGTCTCTTCTTCACTGTCATTTCATGAAAGTCAAACATGACAAAAACAAAAAAATACTATTTAATGTTTCAATCAAACAGGTGAAATATGAATACATTCATACAACATGTTGTGTATTTCCACAACGTTTCAGTCTAAATGTTTCAAAGCTTTTCCATCAGTGAGGAGGAGCACTCTAAATCTTTTGATCTTTTTTGATTTTTTTTAAATATAAAAACGTTATTATTGATATTTACACCATTTACATGTTAAATTGATGCCAAGGAGTATAAACTCCTAAATTCGTTAAATCCTAAAAATTTGTGGAAATGCATCCAAAGATGTGACCATGATGTAATCCATGGTAACAGCCCTGTACATGAACTGTAGTCTCCAGAGTGAACCTCGGGTGCATTTCCATGTACAAGCATCCTATACAGCTTCTGTGGAATAGAGTAATACTTCCTGAACTGAAAAGTCATTGCCAGTAAACATGTTGTACAACCTCATAATGTATTTTGGAAAACATATTGGTGGTATAAGTTTCCTATGTACCGCTTGTATCATTATTTGTTCTTCATTTTGTATTCGTTGTGCCTCTCATCTGCTCCTGGCACATTCAGCTTGTATGGCCTTGGGTGTGCAGAGTAAAAACATCCCTCTGTCCTGTTTCGCTCTGTACACTTTGACTCACTGTTTGGGAGACAGATGCACAGCGTACAGATGCAATTCACTGGTAGGCAAAGCTGAAAGAATCCTTTAACAGTCACAGATCCAAGGTTACCTGTTTCTCCCTGTTCTTTTATCTGCTGGGACTGAGAAAGTGACAAGACGTCGGAAGTCTAAATCTACAGTGCGCAACAGAAATGACTGCAATGTCACTTAAATGTCAAATGACTCCAAATTCTATTCAATTATTTCCAAAGTCAAAGAGTAGAATTTTTGTACTTCGACTCATGGTTTAGATACTACACCTATTACACACCTACCTTTTTTTTTTTTTAAATTTACAGGCTCTAAAGTAGGAACTCAAAGCAAGAAAAGTCTGTACTTTTTCATTTTTCAATACTTTCTTTATTCCTTCCTTTATTTTTGATATCACACCCAATCCTCCTCGGAGGACACTGCATTTCCGGAGAGTTACAGAATCCTGTCATTTCTCAACTGTATTTTCAGTTACTCTTTGCTGAAGGGTTTGTGTTGCTCTACCTTTCTGTTTAGAGTACATCCAAAGGTCTCTATTGGACTCAAGTTAGGCGACATACTTGTCCAACGTCATAGTTTTAACTTTTACTACTTTAGAAACTCTTGGGTGACTTTTGATCATTATCAGCTGGAATATTTCTCTTCTTCTCTGCCAAGCTTCTGCAGACTGGAAGTCATCTTGTCAGCCAGTATTATTGGTTTATCCACAGACATTCATGGTGCCATTCGTAACTATCATCTCCAAACCATCTGACTAAAGAATGAGCTCCCAATTTTCATCAGGCTTTTTTTTTTTTTTTCATGTCTCTGAACAAAGTATAATATTCCATTTTTGTCCTAAACAGAAACAAAAGGTATTCTTCTTGGATGTCACCCACAAGGTTAATGTCATGCAGTGTCCTTCATACTTTCTGAGCTGCCACAGAAACTCCAATTTCCATTAATAACCCCTGTGCCAAGTCTGAACCTGTCTGTTTTTCAGAGCTGGATTGTGCAAGTAGTGCCTGTCTATGAAGCTGTCTTAGGAGGATGACCACTGATTAGTGGTACTAGGGCTTGTTCTATGCTACCTGATGACCACTGCAGCTGTTTCCACTGATCTTTAGTTGGTCATAGATCTTCCTGCGTGTTTCTTTTGTGGAGTCTCACAAGATTTTTCATCCCTCTCGCCTTTTTTGTTGGAGTCATGACATGCAGATAGACACATTTGTCTAAAACGGAGAAACTTCTGATGTTTACGGCTCATTTTATAATCATGTCAATGCACTTACTTTGATTGGAAATGACAGGTGTACTCAGTTAAGTTTCAGTGATCACAGGTTTATTCACTTTTGTTGCTTTGAGTTTCTATTGTCTTTGTGACGTATTTATTTTTCACTGTTAATAAGAGGAAATATTCTAATGTTCAATTTAGAAATAATGCAATTACTGAGAGGTGCTGCTATTCTGTTGTATGCTGTAACTTCATTTTGAAAGGCACGAGTCTCGTTTGTGTAGCTCCATTGCAATAACTGCATACCGCTGATGGACACTTGCTGTTTGCGAACTCACTTTATTGCAGAATCTCCACATTATCTTTTTACAGTCTATTTTAAGTCAATAAAAAAGTGTAAATGTAATCTGACGGGGTTGGCGCTCCACTATATGTAAGCACACACTAAAAAAGTGATTGAAAGCTAATGAATGCTGCCCTGCATTCTCAGGCTGTTTCTGGAGCATGTCAAGAATTAACAGTGTGGCCCTCTATACCATAAAGCCGAATCCTGCACCAGTAAGCAGAGGCAGCCCAGGGGAGCGAGTCTACACTGATTGTAATTTCATGCTGTAGTGAGAAACAGTAGGGAGGAGAGCAATGTACAACAGCCTCGCAAGGGCACTGCAAGTCATTTGAAAGTTAGAGAAGCACCGTGAACACTTAGCAAACTTGCTGAGGGCTGTAGAGAATATGCCTCAGGAATTCGGATGCTCGTGTTTGTTTTCTGTTGTTGTCGGTCCCTCAACGGCTTGCTTCACTTGCCTACTAAACAGCACATAAAGATGATGAGGTTGATCCATTTTATTGGCGTATTGAATTTTACTGGTGTACATTCTTAAATTTAACGGGTTGTAAAGTACAGTAGAAACATCAGAAAACTAAAACCACATGAAACCCTTGCAAAGGTGCAGTTAATTGAATCCTGTGTTCCACATTGTTTGTGCAGTAGAAAATGACTGAAAGCCTGGTTTGCTTTCAGATGTTAGTTACTGCTATCAGTAACATGCTTATAAGGTTTTTTAGCAATTAGGGCAAAAACAAAGCTTGTTTTAAGCTGAGGGAGTGGTGGCTTTTTAAAAGATCTGGCAAGGAATGGGTTTTCTCATCATCCCGGGGCATGTTGTCTCCCAGTGAATGAGGTGAGCAAGCTCATTCTTAACAGCTGTTGAGGATTGCGAGTGTGTGTGTGTGTGTGTGTGTATTGGAGGGGATAATAGTTGTCGGAAACTATGAAGAACTTAGTAGGAAAGAGGCCCTCCTTTAAATACAGCTGATGTTACTCAGTTTACGCACAAACTGCAGAAGATCCTACTGAGTTGGCTTCAGGCTGTTCACTACTGCACACACCCCCACACACCCGCCATTAATGCCTCACATATGCACAAAGAACTCCGTCCAGAATATTCATATGGCAAATCCTACATCTACAGTCGTAAAACTAAACGTGAGCCTGGATTGGCATTTTGCTTCATTCACACAATAAAAACCAGTCGTGCCGAAAGAAATATTTTCGCTTTAAGTAAAATCCTTCAGTGATCAGATAGCTTTCACTCACCTCTGATAGCATGAATGTAACATGGTTCGCCCCGCTGTGCATTTTACAAAGCACAACTGGAAGGTGTGTGAAAACTACGCTTTCATATTTATCCATTTTTCCTGACAGCAATTGTTTTTCATTCACTCCACCGCAGCGTGAGAATCAACTCACATCAGCTCGCTTGAATTATGTCAACATGTATCATTTCTGCTGCTATTATGACTATGTGGCAAAGCAATATGCACTTATGACAATATCACCACAGCAGCACTGGAATTACAACAACAATAAATAGTGAAGGATGGTAACTGTGAAGGACTGTCAAACCGAGCTTCGAGTTCAACTGAATACAAAATAAATGATAGAAATGAAGGTGCTTTAACCCTCAAAAGCAGTACACAGAGGAGCAAGTTGTTGGAAGACACATTCAGCATGGTGAAATAACTTTTTAGGGTTGATGCGCAGAGCAATGTAGAAAAATGCCTTGTTTGTTGTAAAAGTTGTTTTCAAAAAGCAAAGTAGAAATATCTCAGTAGCATGTGGAGCCACCATTTTTTCAGTATTGTTAATGACGAGTCTATCATGTCTAACAAAAAGCTTTTTTTCTTTTTCTTTTTTCTGATTATTGGC